TCCTCTGAGTGTCCGAATGCGTTACTCTTTCCTCCTAGTTGTAGGACTTCCACTCAGCCAGCGTTCCTGTGGGTCTGGGTGATGTCCCTTCCGTCTTTTAGTTTCACTTTTGAAATGGTTGTTCGAGGCGGCAAACTCCGGCGTTAACCTATGCCGCCATCTTGGTTCTCTCCCGGAAATAGTTCTTGATAAATTGAATGGGTAATCCCATTTTAGATTTTCACCAAGTAGGAGTTATTAGTCATACATAGGTTTGCTGGGTCCAATATAATAAGTAGTAACTTAGAACATTTCCAACTTTATCTATTTAGCAAATAACTATTGAATGCCTCGTATGGGTCGGAAACTATCACTAGGCCCTTGGGCTTTTTTATAGTAGTAAACAGAAAAGAAGTTGTTCCTTCATGGAGTTGGCATCTAAGCAGTGGGAGATAGTCGGTAAACAGCACAAGTAAATTATACAGTCTATTAGGTGATGCGTGCTATGGAAAAGTGGGGCAAAATCAGGGTGATAAAGGTTTCTGAAGGGGGGGGGTGGATTGCAATGGATCGGGCAAGGTCACACCTTGGGAAGGTCATTTGAAGGTAAAGGAGTTAGCCATATGGCTATCTGGAGGATAGCGTTCCGGAAAGAGGGAATGGTGAGTGCTAAGACCCTAGGTAGCAGCATGCCTAGACTATGCAAGAAACACTGGCAAGAAGTAGGCCAGTGAAAGTGGCTGGAGTGAAACAAGTGAGATGAGAGGAGTGGAAGGTGGAGTTAGAAAATTAATAAGTCCTGGATCATGTAGGCCCTACTAGGTCTTTGGAAAGATGCTAGTTTTTCTCTGAGTGAAATGGAGAACCATTGTGGGGTTCTGAATAAAAGAAGTGGCAAGATTTGACATATGTCTTAAGAGCTATTGTGTTCTGAATAGGTTAGGAGAGACATTAGTTAGGAGACTATTACCATAATCCAGGCAAGTGATGATGGTGCATGGACCAGGGTAGATCAGTGAAGGTGGGAGAAATGGTCTGATTTTGGATATATTTTGAAGGTAGATTACATAGGGGATATGAGAGAGAGAGAGAGAGTAGTTAAGAAGACTGCAAAGTTTTGGACCTGAACAACTGGAAGGAAGAGTTGCCATCATCTGAACTGGGGAAGATGTTCATTTGGGGTAGAAGAGGGTTTTGGGGGGAGGGGAGGATTTCAGTTTTGGATATACTAGGTTTACAATAGCTATGATATATCCAAATAAAGTATCAGATGGGCTGTGGGATGTATAAATCTTGAGTTCAGGCAAGAGTTCTAGACTGGAGATGTAAGTGTGGAAGTGTTGGCTTATAGATAATATTTTAAGCCAGAGGACTAAGTGAAATCTCTCTAAGGGAGTCAGTGTAGATAAAGAAAAGAAGAGCTCCTAGGACTGATCCCTGAGGTCCTCCAACACTCAGAATTGAGAAGAGGAAACTGGGTATGACAACTGGTGAGGCAGGAAGAAAACCAAGTGGGTGTGGTATTCTGGAAACCAAATAAGGAAAGTAGACTCTTTCCTTTGCACAGCAGTGTGGGACTATAAAAACAACCGTGCAAACAATCTTAATAAGCAGTGGGAAATTTACTACTGTCCTGTGACCTTTAAAAATTATTGTATAAACACGAAAAATCTGATGGTTATAAATATAGGGAAATGAAAAAATAGTAAAACTACTTTTTATTTAGTACACTATAATCTAAAATATTGACAACACTGAGAATTAAAGTGTTCCATTTCTTTGTAAAAAACTTATCAAAAGTAGTTTGAGCAGCGCTTGCCTTTTTCTCATCGTATAACTTATGATACAGGCAAACATCTTTTCTATGCTTTGGCAAATTGTCACATTCCTTTTGAAGTTTGGATCAGCTTCCAACATTTCATAATTTTTGCTTTCAGTATTGTGAAGTATCTCCTAGGGTTTCTTTACTGACAGTGAAATATCTCTGAAAGTTATTTTTTTTTAATTAAATCTTTATTGTTCAGATTATTACATTTGTTCCTCTTTTTCCCCCCCAATAACTCCCCTCCTCCCAGTTCCCACCCCACCCCTGCCCTCACTCCCCACCCACTGTCCTCATCCATAGGTGCACGATTTTTGTCCAGTATCTTCCCGCATCTCCCACACCCCTTTCCCCCACAAGAATAGTCAGTCCATTCCCTTTCTATGTCCCTGATTCTATTATAATCACCAGTACATTCTGTTCATCAGATTATTTATTCACTTGATTCTTAGATTCACTTGTTGATAGATGCGTATTTGTTGTTCATAATTTGTATCTTTACCTTTTTCTTCCTCTTCCTCTTCTTATAGGATACCTTTCAGCATTTCATATAATCCTGGTTTGGTGGTGATGAACTCCTTTAGCTTTTCCTTATCTGTGAAGCTCTTTATCTGACCTTCACTTCTGAATGATAGCTTTGCTGGATAAAGTAATCTTGGTTGTAGGTTCTTGGCA